ATTTCCATATGCTTTTATATGTGGGTACCCAGGGCCGAAATGTCTATGAACGGTGGACACTACCCTTTGGCCGTTTACTCTAAAATAATCCTGTTTACAATTCCGATCACTATAGTTGCCACACTTGAAAGGCCGATAGGCAACCGTAATTTTTTATCAAAAGTTGTAATCAGCAAGATGTTACCATCAAACTGTTTCAATTTTCCTCTGTTGCTTCTTACGACACTTTCCAAGATGATAATATGTGGTAGAGGGATCTCTTACGCGTCTACTACTCGACGGAGGAAGTTATTATGATTGATAGAAAGTTTTTAGGAATGTAAAGAAAAACACACATAAAAATGATATGTTCTTTTATTATTACCAAAAATTCGAAACAAATTCGTAAACGTCATTAGTTTTATATAGTATTTTTATCTTTATTTAAACTGCTTAAATAAAAAAACAAGTAATAAAGTAATCAAAAAATTTGGGATGATTATAATATGATGATGATTTATCATCATAAGTATAGCTTTAAAAATATAACTTTTAAGCTATTATAGCTTATAGCTGTAGCAATCACAATAATTAGCAATTAGCACATTTTTAGATAACGGCTTTACGGTAATACAAAAGAATCAAAACATTCACTTACAACTTATTAAACTTACATTGCTATAAAGTTCACACACATTATCCACTGATCGTAAAAGGTAACATGGTATTATAAAAGTAATTCTAACACTTATTATGTCTATAATCTAATGTACAAAGGTTTTTTTTTTCATAAACTTATTTCTTATTTGATATTCATACTATTATAACTTCAACAATGTACATTAGGCGTTATTATTTTTCTTATACAATATTATACATCAAAATGGGTAAATGTAATGTGAGGAAAGCCCACGGAGCAAATACAAAGAGGAGAGGGCATAAGCAACTGTGCACTGTGATTCTAACTAGGTCATCACAGTGGACGTGGCTTTAGGTACGCGTACACCTAATCCGTCATCGGCCGAAGTTTGCTCGGGCGATGACGGCCGAACTCGGACGATCGAATCAAACACTTGTAAAAGACACACGACCGTTATCGTCCGATAACGCACGAAAACAGCCTATCAACCGTTGAGTCCGAACTTGCTGGGATTTCTCGCCAGATTGCCGGCGTCTACAGTGCAAATTGAGTGTATTTATAGTTTAATTTGATTATTTTGTCTTTATTCTGTTGTTTCTCTCAGCGTTATTATCTACCTAAACGACTATGAATATTGAAAAATTAATTAGTTGTGTTTATAATAGACAATATAATAGACAATTACAATAATCGAGAGGTTTCGAAACGGTTATGGGCTTAAGTTGGTTCGGAAATGGATATAGCGGTTCCAGATATTTAAAAAAATTCGTCTTCACTCTGTTAAGCAACACAGTCAACTACAGAATACCGGCAACGTCCAATGTCGGCACACGTGGTACACTGTTGCAGTGTAAGCATATACACGTCCGAGTAACTCGTCCGGGTAGTTCTGTCCGCCATCGGCCGACAAAATCGGTTTTGGGGTACACGTACCGTTAGTGTACTGTCAGCGTTCGTCGTGTGTGCTTATGTGTTCTAGAAAAATCTCTGTGTCCGCTTTCAAATGTAATTAAATATATTCGACACTAGATGGCGACACTTTGTGTCAAAGGGAACTTTGGGAACTAAAATATAAAGTTACGTAAAGCTCAATATTTTATAATAATTTTGTGAACAGGCCGCCATCTATCGTCAAGGTAGCTAAACTACATTGCAACATCGATATGGAATGACGCGAGTAGTTTTACTATTTATAGGTAGATGGAAAATAGTAGTGGGTGGGGCTTAACATCCCCTCACCTCGCAAATTGTCACGCATTGTTACATAGTGAAATCTAATTACAACACCTCCTCTTTGTATTTGCTCCGTGGGAAAACCCTGTAAACACCATATGAATAAAGCTCGGTAGAGACTATGCTAAACTATTGTGCTATATAATATAGGATATTTATATGCTACATTGCAAGTAAGTGTATATATAACAAGGTCCAGTTTATGGCGATCCACCAGAAAGTTAATGAAACGGAGGGGGAGAAGCGATAAGGCGGGCGAATCGTATGTTCGATATAGCTCGGAAATTTGCTTAAGTGGTGGTATAGAAATTAAATACTATATAATATATAAAGATATTAAAAATTAATTTGCTAAGATCTAATTGAAGTCTTTACCTTCCAGTTTAGAGGCGAAACACGTGTCGGGTATTACTGACGGTAATGTGTCTTTCCTGGTGTTCTGGTGTTTGGAGTAGTGGTGCTGGGATTAGTGGTGACGGGGATAGTACACGCAATTGAGGGGGGCGGGAGGTGCCCTTCAAACTAATTAATTTTTAACATCTTTAATATAATATATTTCCGCAAAGTTACGCTGATTCTATTAATTATACTATAGTGTAAACATGTCCATAAAAATAAATGCCTAGCTATATTGATGTGCTATATTATATTTGCTATGTTTTATATAATATAACATAGTCTGAAGCCGCCTTAATACGATAATATAAAAAACATAACATATAAATCAAATAACTATATAAAACAAGTATATAACAATATCCTCGAATAACTTAGGTACTAAATTAGGAACTATAGTCTAGACATACATTTAAGCATTATATTTACATACGATTTATATATTCAATATTATAATATATAAACTTTAAAAACCTTGGTAAGATTATTTAAACCGCTATATAAGGTTCACTCTCATCTATATGCCATAATATATACGGCCAACTAACGAGATAAAAAATGGAAACACGCTTTTAATGCATGCGGTTTGACGTGGTTCTTATGTTACAAGAAAAATTAAAAACATTTGTGCAGTTCCACGTGGCAGAAGGGAAACCCTCAGAAATTTGTAAATAAAATTGCTTTGTAATAGCGCCATCTACTTTATTTTATAAGTAGTCTTATCGAACAAAAATTGATTGACTCTCAAGATGGTACGTAAATAGACGCTAGATGGCCTTAACACGACTAATTGAATATACAACGGTAGGTTATTAAATCTTGGAATATTATAAATGGATTTGATATGATAATTTTATACAATATTTTATTATTAATTTTGTTGCTGGAATGGAAGCTCAAGGTCGCTCAGCGAGCTATGTAGAGGGCTAGTGGCGACCTGGTAAGACATGCAGGAAGTTGATCGATGCAGGTGGCTCAGGACCGTGCTTTGTGACATTCCTTGGGGGACACCTATATTCAGCAGTGGACTTGTGAAGCGCTGTAATGATGATGATGATGATATCAAAAGTTTAGATGGGCTGAACATAAGCTGCCAATAGGTACCACGCGTGGCGAGCAAGTTGGCAAGCGCAGGTTATTTGTTATTATTGAGATTTTATTAGGAAGATGCTGCTGCCCATCCCCTGTTTCAGTTTCCTTGTATCACATGAGTAAAGAAACCGACCAATTAATTAAAAAAATATATCTCAAAAAAGGATAATAATTAGTTACTCTTTTATCACAGTAGGTACCCAATTCGACTGTTTTTTTTTTGTGTGTTCCTCAGAACTTTTTCTAGGCGAACCAATTTTGACGATCCTTTTTTATTTGAAAGCTAGTGCTTGTCATGTGGTCCCATATAAATTTGATCAAGATCTGACCAGTAGTTTTTGAGTTATCCTTAATAATGCGTATTTAATTGACTTCAACTACATTGACGATGTTCTCATTTTATTTATATTGAAGTCGGTTGTACAAAATTTTTAATTTTAACACTATTGTGCCATTAGCGGGACTGTCGTTTCAATTACATAAATCACAGCGATACGTTGACTGCACTGCGACTTGTTGGATACTTGGATCGCTGGGACAACTTATAACGTGACTATAAAATACGCGATTTGGTAATTTATTGGGTTTTATTTCATTAAAAGTAAAGTAAAGTTGCAGCCTATTTACGTCCCACTGCTGGGCACAGACCTCCTTTCATTTCTGAGAGGGTTTTAGGGCAAGGAAATGTCCGCCGCGCTGCCCCAATGCGTGTTGGCGAATTTCACATGTCTTCAAAATATTTTTTTTCTTATTTCACAGACATGCAGGTTTCCTCACGATGTTTTCCTTCACCGCCGAGCATGTGGTAAAGCAGCACTTAAAATTGCAATTAACAATTTCATTGGTGCCGGCGGGGATCGAACCCGGGTTGCTCGAGTACTGTGAAGCTTATAGCGAGCGCTAACCATCTGAGCTACCACGGCTCTTTATTTCAGTAGTCTTATTTTATTATAAGTAGTGGCACGAAAGTCTAGCGGTGACCGTTATTGCGCATAAAACACGCTGATTAGCTCCTGCGTATCGTTCGCGCGCGCTAATTGGCTCTCCAGTCGCATTCGTGCAATTCAATTCATGCGCGTTTCGTTTCGCACCTTTCATTAAGCGGTAGACTTACGTGCCGCGACTTTTCTCCAGACCAGGTTTCGGTCACGGCGGCCAGTCTCAACGGAGACTAGCCATCTGCGCAGGACCGGATTATAGTACTATTATAGCCACATTATATCATATACTTCGGGGTCAGTTTCCTTCATTTTTGTTTTCGTGATTTATTTCATTTATTTTAACTTAAAACGGTAAACTCAATCACATTATTTAAAAATAACATATTCATTCTTCTCGCTCACAAAACTTCAGACATTCCGACAATATTACCGTCCATTCATCCACAAACAGTGATATTTTAATTCCGTATGAATTGCACATTAAATAAGTTTTTATAATTTCATTAAATTAAATTCTACAAGACTCTTCACAATACCCAATAACACTTCATAATAATAGTAGTTCACCGAGATGGTCTCTGTAGCATTGACTTTCGTGTGTACCACTGACTTTACAACGTACCACAGACTTTACAACGTACCACAGAATTTACAACGTACCACAGACTACTATGTACCAACGATTTTATTAATCAACGTTCCGAATGAAGTTCCTTGCACTAGCTCCAGTTACACCAATCCTCACAGCCGCAGCCCTGGAAACCATTCTCGGTGCATTTACCATTTATTTTACCGTTGTCGCCGTTTACCAACTCATTGGGTCGGTAAGTGTAGAACACTTCGCAGAACGCGGAGTCATCTCGTGGCAAATCATAGCCTACGTGTTTAGCGGCTAGCCATGCCGCTCCCATCGCACTAGATACACGTAACCGAACTAATTCTAGTTCTGTTTTCACCTGGAATTAAACAAGTCCAAAGGTAAAAAAAAGTTTTTAAAGTGGAAACTTTAAAGTCGTTGCGATTTGAAACTCAATGAAACGAAAAAGAGACAAATATATACATCTATAGGATTTAGCTTGCGAGAGAATGGGATAGAATAGGGTATACAGTGTTTCCGATTACCTCGGTCTCCTTTTCTGAAGGTTTACTTCTACAGCGTGTGAACTACACACATCATTTTTTTTTATATAGAATAAGAATAACAAACGATGGTAAGTGGATGCTGTACTCCAAAGATATCTAAATTTATCCTCGATTAAGAACCAAAATGCAGATGCGTTGTCATCCCTAAGGACTAAGATGGAATGCCTCGTTACCAGTAAAAGGGGTCTCCGATTCTCTACACGAATGGCAAGCGCGTTGGCAACCGCCATTTATTATTTTTACTCGTTACTAGGAAGACGCTGCTGCCCATATTCTGATTTGTTTCCCTCTGTCGTCTCTGCCCCGTGTAGTGGCGGGTAAGAATACTCACTACCCCATATCTTCCCGTGGGTGTCGTAAGAGGCGACAGAGGGAAACTGAGACAGAGGATGGGCAGCAGCATCTTTCTGATCTTGAACAGCAAAACAACAATAAAAAAACTGCGGTTGCCAACCCGCTCGCCAAGCGTGGCAACTATGGCAAAATACCCCCCATGATAAAAGTTACAAAAAGACGGCCCCCAGTCCCCGGCGGCCCCGCTATTTCTGGCTACGGTGGCGCCCATGGTAACAGAGGGGCAGGGGGTGCTAAGAATCTCCAGTGGAGGTTCGGTTGCCACCTACGACGACTTGACCTGGCAACCTGAGGACTGACGAGAAGATCCTGGAGCTGGAAGAAGAGATAGACAAGTTGCGCTGGAATATCATAGGATTATCCGAGGTCCGAAGACAGGGGGAGGACACGGTAATCCTCGAATCCGGCAACTTGCTCTATCACCGGGAGGGCGACCATCTGTCCCAAGGAGGTGTCGGATTTATCGTCCACAAGTCTCTCGTTAACAACGTTATGAAAATTGAGTGTCGGCGAGGGTTGCGTACCTTATACTCAGAATCACCAAACGGTATTCGCTGAAGGTCATACAGGTTTACGCAGCAACCTCGGCACACCCCGATGAGGAGGTGAAGGAAATGTATAAGGATATCTCTAGAGCCATGCATTTCTCCAAAACCCGCTCACTATACGGTGTTAATGGGAGACTTCAACGCAAAATTAGGCACAAGAGAGAACGGTGAGCTGAAAGTAGGGAAATTCGGAATAGGGCAACGGAACCCAAGGGGCCAGCAGCTGGCCGACTTCATGGAGAAAGAGGGACTGTTTATGATGAACTCTTTCTTCCAGAAGCGGCCTAACAGGAAGTGGACTTGGTTGAGCCCCGACGGTTCGACAAAAAATGAGACTTTATTATGACTACCAGACGACAACTGTTCAGTAATGTCTCAGTGATCGCGAGGGTGAAAACCGGCAGCGATCACCGAATAGTGAGAGGCACACTGAACCTAAACGTTAAGTTGGAGAGGTCACGTCTAATGAAGTCAACGCTCCGTCCCCTTCGTGCTCTAGTCCGAAGTTCCGAAACCTTTCAGCTCGAGCTACGAAACCGTTTTCAGTGCCTAGAAGATTGCAATGCAGTGGACGATATGAATGACAAGCTCGTGGAAACTATCCATGCTTTCGGAGTTAAGTTTTGCAAGACCCGCCGCAGAAGAACACAAAAACTCTCCGATCACACTCTTAATCTCATTGCTGTCAGACGGGATATGAAGCTGCAGTCTTCAGTAGATTTGACAGCATACAGGCAACTGAACTTGCGCAACTTTAATACTGCTCGTATTGAAGAAGCGATCGAGCGGAACCAGGGCTTCAAAGTCTTTGCTAGAGATCCGTCTGCCAGAAAGAGCCAACTGTCGAAGCTGAAGACCGAGTGTGGCGGCATCGTTTCCGGGACACCTGAGATTTTGAGTGAGATTGAGAGGTTCTATGGGCAGCTGTACACATCATCATTGGAGCCACACGTAAGTGTGAGTAACGATCCAAGAGCGAGTCTTATCCGACACTATTCCGATGAAATCCCGGACAACAGTCTGAGCGAGATTAGAATGGCTCTCCAGCACCTTAAAAACGGCAAGGCCCCAGGCGAGAATGGAATTACAGCGGAGCTTCTGAAAGCGGGTGGAAAACCGGTACTTGAAGTCCTTCAGACGCTCTTTAATTCCGTCCTAAATGGTGGCATTACACACCGGAGGCGTGGAGCAGAAGTGCGGTGGTCTTGTTCTTCAAGAAAGGTGACAACGTTCTCTTGAAGAACTACAGACCAATTTCCCTTCTGAGCCGCGTCTAAGTGTTGTTTTCGATAGTCATTACGAATCGTCTCGCGTGCAGACTTGACGACTTCCAGCCTCCCGAACAAGCCGGTTTCCGAAAAGGCTTTAGCACCATAGATCACATATATACCCTCCCAACGGATAGGTCTTAAGATGAACATGGACAAAACAAAGATCATGTTTAATGTCCATGTCACACCTATGCCGGTAGTTGTTGGGAGCACTAAGCTCGAAGTTGTTGACGAGTATGTTTACCTGTTACAAATAGTCCGACTAGGTAAGTCCAACTTCGACCGAGAGGTCAATCGGCGGATTCAACTCGGTTGGGCAGCGTTCAGGAAATTACGGCACATCTTGTCGTCAGGTATACCTCAAAACTTGAAAACGAGACTGTACAAACAGTGCGTGTTGCCAGTGATGACCTATGGAACTGAGACGTGGTCCTTCACTGCTGGCTGTATGAGGAAGCTCAAGGTCGCTCAGCGAGCTATGGAGAGGGCTATGCTCGGAGTTTCTCTGCGTGATAAACTTAGAAATGAGGATATCCCCAGTAGAACCAGAGTGACCGACATAGCCCAACAGTTTAGTAAGCTGAAGTGAAGTGAGTAACTCGAAGAACCGACAACCGATGAGGAAAAAAGGTTCTCGAGTGGCGGCCTCGCACCGGCGGACGAAGTGTAGAGCGTCGCTCCACTAGATGGAGTGACGACCTGGTAAGATATACAGGAAGTCGATGGATGCAGGTGGCTCAGGACCGTGCTTTGTGGCATTCCTTGAGGGAGGCCTATGTTCAGCAGTGGACTTGTGAAGGGCTGTAATGATGATGATGATGATGTCGTCTCTTACGACACCCACGGGATGATATAGGGTCACTACCCTATTATTCTTATATGATATTCTAACACCGCCACATACGGTCATCATATTACATATAGCCTTTTAAAAGTCCACTGTAGAGATATATTTATAGGCTTCCTGTATATTTATATTCGTAAAGGGGATTTTTGCTATAGATGCAACGCTTGGCAGAGAGCGGCATTTTGTTATCAAAAAGTTGCTGCTGCCTATCTATATTTTGTTTTAGTTCTACTCTGTCGCCTCTTACGACATTCACGGGACGATAGTGAATATTCTTACACCGCCACTACATGATTAATAATTTTAAGTATTTTTGCTATGTTAATTTTAGCTTTTTCTTTTTTTCATTAGTTCAAAACAGTTCACAACTGGGCGTGGATGTCTTCCATAGTAGGGAGGATTTTTTACAATTGTGGTATAAGACTTTTGTCGCAATTTTTCGTAGCCAGCTAAAGTATTTTATGGATCAGATTTTCAATGTGAATATGTGATTTAGAAAACTGCAAAATCGGGGAATACAATTATCTCGTAGATTTAAGTTAGTTTGATATAGGTTCGATTTATTTGTGTCAAATATTGGATTTATTCTATTTTTGTTGTATTTACTGACATTCACTCGTTTGTACATTTGTAGTGTTGAACTGATTATGTTGTAGGACCAAGTGACTATTACTCGTACTAAATTCACCAGTTTCATATACAGTTTATTCGTTTAAAATTTTATTATTTATCATTTCGTATTTAACTAATATTTTCTGTATTTAATAGAATAGATTTAGAATGTTAGAATACAGATCACGGGAATTATTTTTTGAAAGTCAGAAAGTCATATGTTTTTATTACTGTTTCGGAGAAATGTCGGTTTTATAATGGGTAATGTGTAAATTAAGTTTTAATATTATTAATTACTAGTTCTAGGAAGATTGAGCAAGAAATGAAGGGTATGTTTTTAAAATATTAGATTACAATATTTTTGAAAAAGAGGGTATTAAATAAAATACGAAAAGGTGAGCATAGAACTCTAATCTTCCATTCGTTCTAGTGGTTGAAAGGCAAACGGTTTTATGTGCTTTAAGAAGCATGGGGGTGCAATAATGTAAACTTTTTATTCCGGGCTGCTACTGAGAAATTTTTGAGAGAAAAACTTAATAAGTAATTTTGGTCCGACGCGAGGTTCGGATTCGGGATCTTATGAACGGGCACCGCGTTTACAATAAAGAATAAATAAATAAATAGCGTGAGTTTAAAGTGACCTGTCTGTCGACGAGCTGGCGCAGCAGGCCGGGGCGCAGCGTGTGCCAGCTGTTCCAGACGGAGCCCACGCACACGACGCGCAGGGCGCGCGGGGCGTGCGGGGCGCGCGGGGCGGGCGCGGCGCGCGCACACAGCGCGGCCACGTGCGCGGCCAGCGCGGCGCCCGCCTCGCCCAGCACGTGCGCGCTCAGCGCGTCGCCGCGCGCCGCCAGCCCCGACAGCTTCGCCGCCAGACCTGCACGCAATGCCTCGCAACCTTACACACTCGCACACGCGCTAATACCACGTGTGAGGACCATTAGCTAAATGAAACAATCATGACAATGCTTCAAACACAACTACTACTCTAGTTACACTCGACTAAACTGCTACACTAAAGACTACTCACCTGCCTGCGGCAGGAGCGATCTAAAATGAACAGCGATCGCGGCAATATCAAACTATCTCTACACACATGCCTGTCGTCCAGTATGAGAATATACGTCTCGCTGGACACACACGTTGAGAATAACGCCAGTTTTATCAAAATATCAATTAATTTATATACCGGGTGTGTATGAAACGCTTCCGTAAACAAAAACAGGCGATAATACTAACTATACCTCTGATGATGAATGAAAAATAATATCAAAACTAAAGGAAAAAAATCATCTTTTCACAACGTTTTATTAGCTTCATTCACGCTCCATCATGTTAGTACAGCTATATGAAACAATAATTTCATAAAAACAATCATGAAAATACTTAAACACAAAACCAGCAGTGGAATTACAATCAGCTAACTAGGTCAACGTACGCCCGAACGCCGAATTTGCGCGACCCGCAGCTAACAATGGTACCACAGTACCTAATAATTTATAACACTTGTCTAAATACCTGACTTATCTACTTAACCTACTATTTTACCACTGTGCTTGTCTCCACCTAGCCACTTTATTCGCAGGTTAAATAAACCAAATACCTTGTCCAATTCCTTGTTAATAAAAAATTACTTAAATGAAATGTTAACAAGATTAGAGTCATGTTTTTGTATCTATCGTGTAAGTATTTTTATTATTCTGATGTACTCAGTTATGTGCCTTTTCAGACGAGTTCAGTACTAAATTATTTATAAAAAATAGGTATAAAACAACTTACCAATCTAAATCCTAAGTAAGTATGAGATTCTCCAAGGCACATTAACATGTTTGCCGTATTCACGAGCACTATAAACGTACCTACGCGTTAGACATTATTAAAACAAAACAAGAAAATCAAAACGTAACAACAAGAATATAATAAACAAAACGATTAAACTGTCGCTCAAGCACACGTGAATGTCAACACGAAACTGTCTCAAAAACAAAAATTAATAATCAATCCCGCCAAAACAAATGCGCACGAGACATTCGTCCTTGAAACACTGAGCACTACCACAGATCGTAAAACCCTTAAGACATTGCCAACGTTTATTTTATTTATAAGTTTCGTTATCCCTACGACTAGTCTTCATATGGAATTTAGAAGTTATGGCTGTCATTTTTAATACAATTACACAATCAATTGTACCCTGATGCAACTAGCAGTTCTTTACTACAAAATTATACTGAAATTAATAAACGTACCTAATTGGGTACTCAGTACTCACACAATTATAAAAACTATTTCATCGTTATCTTTGAACTTGTGTAAGAAAATAGAAATGAAATGGTACTGAACAATTTAATAGTTAAAATCAATTGCAATTATGATCGACTGTTAATTAATTTATCAGAATTAATGTAAAAAATAATACTTTGACTTTGATTTTCCGTATTTAATCCGACCAATACTTTAAATTTAAAACGTCAAAATTATTAAAAATGACTTGCAAGTTTTATAGCGAATTCTTCTAATTCTTATGTTGCCGGCAAACTGAATTTCGGCGCAACATGGCAGCGTTACCAACACCAATTTGTCGAATTCCCCGAAAATTCATGTCAAATTCTCCAATTAAAGGACAAAACTTTTTTTTCTTTACAATTAAAAAATAAAGAAATGAAAAGCATTGAATGATACACAAAAGTTGCCGAAATGAATCCGAAAATTAAATGTGGTGCAATGAAGATAATTAAAAAAGGGCGTCATTCGATATTCATAAGTAACCTAACAAAATGTTAAGATAAGTATTTAGATTTCTAGAAATAAGTTTCTGACTTGGCCCCCGGCTATCGATTTTCGAAATCCCCGTATTTTCCCCGTAAAATAAAATAAATAAAATCCCCAACCAACTTTAAATTTCCCGCAATTTTGGGAATTCCCCACATGTTGGCAAACCTGACATGTGTAAATTCCATAGTGCAAGACGACACGAGCCGGCCAGGCGGCGGTAGTGTGTGTGTGAAAGGGAAGGGTAGAGTGAGTAGGCATCGTTTCACACCGAGCTAGATTCATAAGAGTTCGACGTCCTCGAGAATATTGACCCTATTGTCAGCTGATTTTATGATTTATTCATTTTAAATTTCACTGCTGCTTTAATGTTTAAGTATTTTCATGATTTTTGTAATGAAATTATTGTTTTATTTAGCTGTACCAACATGATGGGGCATGAATAAAGCTAATAAAATTGATTTTATTTCTCACCCATGATCAAGGGTATAAGTTAATACTATCGTCTGTCTTCGTTTTCGGTAGTGTTTCACAACACCATATATATAATAGAATAGAATAGAATAATTTTTTATTCAATATAGATCACATTTGTAATTCTTATAGAAAGTCATTTTTTACTTTACTACTGCTCCGAAAAAAAACCTCTGTCCTGGGAAGAACCAGCAAGAAACCCAGCGGGACTTTTTTTAAAGCAAATTTTACAATAATGGTTGTACAAACTATATAAGTACAAAATTTATTTTAGAAATAGCTTGGAAGCGATCGATTTTATATAGTTTCAACTTAACAAAACATTTAAACTTGCTAATAGAGAGAGCTTGTACACTTTCCGGGACTTTGTTCTAATAGCGTATACATTGCCCCAAGATTGAATTACTGACTCTGTGGAGTCGAGAAACTGGTATCACTAGCTTGTGTTTGTTCCTAGTGTTTACAGAATGCACATCACTTTTTTTACTAAAACTACCTTTGTTTTTGTGAACATACATTAAATTTTCGTAAATATACTGAGAGGCCAAAGTTAATATATTTATTTCTTTAAATTTATCTCTAAGAGACTCTCTCGGTTTTAGGTTGTAAATAGCTCTAATGGCCCTCTTCTGTAAAACAAAAAGTTTCTGAATCAGCCGCATTTCCCCATAGCAAAATCCCATAAGACATTATGCTATGGAAATAACTGAAATAAACTAATCTAGCTGTCTCGACACTAGTGAGACCTCTAATCTTTTTTACAGCATAGGCTGCAGAACTTAGTCTGCTTGCTAGTTTGGATATATGGGGGCCCCACTGAAGCTTTGCGTCGAGAGTGATGCCAATAAAAACAGTGGATTCAACAGGGCTCAGTTCTTCCCCATTTAAAAACACATTGGTACTCAGATTTTTAACATTCGTTGTTTTAAAATTAATACATTTAGTTTTATTTCCGTTTAAATGTAGATTATTAACGTTAAACCAATGCACTAATTTTGATATAGCATTATTCACTTCGTCACATTTAAATGATTGACGTTTAAGTTTAAAAATCAAGGAAGTATCATCAGCAAATTATACTATATCATGATTATCCTCTACAAGAGAAGGTAAGTCATTAATATACACTAAAAATAGGAATGGGCCGAGAATCGAGCCCTGAGGGACACCCATTAGTACAGGAGAGCCGGAAGAACTTCTACCATTGATAATAACTCAGCATTCTATTACTTAAATATGAAATAATAAGTTTAAGCGCTGTGTTCTTGACACCATAGTACTGTAGCTTCCTGATTAATGTCTCATGGTGAACGCAGTCGAAGGCCTTGGAAAGGTCACAAAATATACCCAAAGCATCCTCTGCTTCTCCCATGCACAAAAAATATGTTTAATAAGCTCAACTACAGCGTCAGTTGTCGAGCGACTCCTTGTAAAACCGAATTTATTTCTGTGTAGCAATTTATTAATATTAAAGAAACTTAACATCTGATCTAAAATTATTTTTTCAAAAATTTTACTAAATGTTGGTAGAACAGAAATTGGTCTAAAATTGGCGGGGTCTAATGTACTACCAGATTTAAATAAAGGTATGACTTTACTATGTTTCATTAAATCAGGAAACACACCAGATTCGATGCTTGTATTAAATATAGTGGCTAGATAAGGTGCTATTATATCTATTATAGATAAAATAACTTTAACGGAAATCCCCTATAAAATATATATATATATATATATATAGCCTTAACTCTTTTTTTATTTAAAACTAGCTGTTCCCCGCGATTTTGCCCGCATGTAATTTAGAGTTTTATTTTTTTTTTTGCAAGGAAGACTATTTTTTTTAAATAAAAATAGCCTAAGTAACTCCTCATAACATCAACTATCTACCAGTGAAAATCCCGTCAAAATCGGTCCAGCCGTATCGAAAATTAACCGGAACAAACAGACAGACAAACAAAAATTAAAAAAACAAAATTTATAATAAGTACCGTTTATACTTTCATGTACATTTAGTAAAACGCTGTAATTTTGACATTACAAACAAACACCTCAATTTTATTTATTTGCATAGATAAGAATAACAAATGAGCACTATCCACCTGATGATAAGTGAATACTATAACCCATACGCACCTACATTTATCGATAAAACAACACATTCACAATGGATATCAATAAAGGCTGTGAAATTTGGACACCAGTGATAGAAGTGTATAAAGAGCGGCTTCTTCACCCAGTACCGCCATTTCGTTATTTTTTTGGAACGTTATTTGAACGTGGTAACGTTTTTAAATATGGTAGAGCCATGCTTCAGCTTATAAGCACTATGTTATGGTTGCACTATATTATGGTTGTAATTACTAATTAATTAGTTGTTTTAAAATGTGGTTAATAAATGTGGGTATCTTTGTGCTTCAGTATCCACTTACCATCAGGTGGACTGTGGTAATTTGTCACCCGTATTCTATATAATTAAAAAATGATATCTAATTACCGTATTCTTCCAATGGATCAATTTAATTATCTTGCAACCTTACCCACACACTACCTTTTCTACACTAGAGTACGTCACTTGATGTCGGTTTTTAGCACGAATCAAAAGATTGTCTACACTCTTTGACGTTAACGTAACGT